ATTTTGCCCATTGATATGAAAAATGCTACATAATTTTTTCTTTTATGCAATACACATGTGTGTAAAATATTTCATACATATATCTAACCATCACTTGTCTATAACTGTAACACCGAATTGATAGGTTTTCCTCAGTTTATTATTTCAAGTGCACTTACCTGGCCAAGCTGGTAGGGGGCTCTCTGGAACAGCTGGGGTGATGCACTCAATGGTGTCAAATGTTGGGGTACCCACAACCTCACATGGTTGCCCTGGAAAAAGTATCATAATCTTATATTTAAAGCAACTAAAAAAATAAATCTACTAGGAGATATATCAGCTACTATTTGAGGAAAATATTTTTAAAAAATCTATAGCATGTTGGACAATAGGCAAATTTTTCGCATTATTCTACGCACAAGATTTACCACAAACACACACAAACACATGCACGTACGCGTGCGCATGCACACACACACTTACCTCCAACCAGAACCCTTGGAGGTGTCCTGCCAGTGGTGTAGTTAAAGAACCTCCCCCTGATGGTGATACGGGTGCCTCCTCCTTCACTACCTCCGGATGGACTAACACCCAACACCTCTGTAACATTTACGGATAATACATACACAATCAGCTAATATCTGTGAAACATTTCAGAAAGTTAACACATTTTCATATCATCCACTCTGTATATTCTCCCTACAGTACTTGTAGACTGTGTCAGATTCATTTAGCCAATTTACACAGAAATTATGATCATAATTTATAACTGCTGACCAGCATGAGTTTGGAATCCGTACAGTTCAGACTGGGCACTGATTTGTATGTTTTCTTTTGTAGTCTGGGACCTGTGGAAAAAGGAAGAGTATTGATGTATTGCACAGATGTACAATTCCATTTTGTGCTGGAATTAGTTGGAAAAAGTTTAAGAAACTAATCATACTTTGTTTTGAATCTATTCTGAGAATATACATGCAGTTATCTTTACTAATCTGATGAATTCATTCATTTCCCAGGTTATAATATAAACTGTAATCATATTAGGTGTTTAAAACACATGACGAGTGTGGGCACTACAGTAACAGTGAAAGATACATACCTGCCACGGCTTCCACTGATGACAAAACTGCCATTGTGACTACCTGTAGGCAAAAAACAAACATGAGATGTTGATATTGTATAAAGAGCTTATATGTTATACACTCAGATAAATTTTGGAAAATCAATGACTCTGGAAATTAAGTCATGTTCCACTTAGAAGTGATTGGAGGAGTGAGCTATAGCTAGAATTTTATTGATACTCTGCTACTCCCAACCTTGTTTTTTTTTGTTTTGTTTTACAAACCAGAGCTGAATGTGTGATGTTTTTACCAATGAACTTGTTCTTGACTTGACATTTCAGGTTTCCCCAGTTGGAGTCAGCATCCAGCTGTATCCCGTACCTGTAAAAAGCACAACAAACATTTAAACAGTTACTGTAACTTAAAGTGTAAGAGAGCATCAGAAGATTATAGGTCCAACCACACAACCGAAATGCACTTCAAATAACAAACCATACTTCAAGCTTCAACAAATCTCTGTATCTTTGAAAAAGCCCTCATGCACAGAGGTTGACAGATTATTATAGACTTTTAAAAACTACTAGTACACATTTATACATGTACGTCTTCTGCTCACAAAAGGTTTTATTACAAGGTATGAAATGGACATCTAAATATCGCATATAATAAAATGCATCATAAATCATACATCATATTTACCCTACAATACAATTCTGTGAAAGATATGCATACTCACAGTTCTCCAGTTTCGTCGACCAAGTCACAAATGGCATTGCCAACATAAGCTCTGCAGAAAGAAAGCAACAGTTACAACCATCCCATCTACATGTACTTCCAGTATAAATCTTTAGCAGTGCATGGTTTCATCTTGATTAGTCTTCACATTCTTTGCTGTGACGTCTCCACCATAAATTCATGACACTGAATAATGTCTCCCTTCTCTCTGTACAGTAGTAGTACAATAAAAAGGCACATTTGTGATATCATGATTTTGCAGCAGAGAGGTCGGTCACATACATTTCAAAACCACCACAAACATTATTGGACACAAACTAGTAACTGTGAGACTCACAGTCAACTGTTAGGCTATATACGGGGTGAGGGTCACTGGTACAATGTACTTGACGTCAAGACCATGAAAAAAGAAACTGAAGGTTCCCACCTTTCGATGGTGTCTGCATCGCCCCCAGCTGTATTCTGGTACTTTGAAGTGAAGATCTTTCCACGAAAGTCCACAACAGTTCCTGGAATACAGAGCCACAAAACACTTAATGTTGTCATCAAATCTTGATTTTGAATAAAATTCTCCATGCAATTGATAAGTTTTGTAACATAACATTAATGTAGTGCTGTTACAATTTGTTAACCAAACCTAAGCGTTATGTTAATCAAACCTTGTTTGCATCATTTCAGAATTGCAATTGAATCTGAGATTATCTGAGAAGCTCCACATATTTTATGGAGGTATGACATCTTGGAACTCTTGTTTTCTGCATGGTCAATCAAGCCCTGACCTTTGACCTCCAAAACATCCTACTCCCTTGTCTCCTAAAATTGGTTTCTTACAGTTTCCCCCAAAAGTTTGCATACATAAGAGTAGTTTTATGGCTCCTATCACTCAATGCAAGTTAATTGGTTTATGAACTACGGTTCATTGTAGTAATTTCGCTAAAATAGTTTGTAAAACAACACATGCTTACCAGGAGGTCCAGATTTGGGGGTGATCCCGCTGATGTACGGTGTATGGCCATCCTCGTACTGCATTTAGGATAATAAATATTGCGTTTTGTTTGTCAATTGGTATTTAAAGAAAAACATAAACATGTCATACACCAGTGGCATTACTGTCGGTACTTCTGTTGACACTCGGAAAAACTTCGAGGATGAAAAAAGATCACCAGTCAGTTTTGTAAACAAATTCTTCCTGGAAATTGGGCACACGTGGTATTTGCGTTTGATTTGAAGTTAAAAATCGCACCATACGCCCCTAAGACTTATCATATACCTGATTCCTGAGATATAGATTATAATTACTCCCTACTGTTGTTGTTATAGACAGACAGAGAGGAACTTACCTCGAACTTGCACAGATCATCGTCAGCACTGCAGTGCTGCTCGTCCGGGAGCGGCGCGTCGTTCTCATAGAGCCGTAAATTGTACTCGCCCTCGGGGGCCGGCCTAGGTAGTGAAATACGAGTATTGATATGTTACTTCTCTATGGTTGTCGAAATTGAAAGAGAATACATTAGTACATATGTTGTGAAATTTTTTCTCCTTCCTTTGGTTCCATTTAAGATCACTCTTTTCATTTCTTTTGTTGTCAGTAGTCAATGCCACCCCTTCGCATTTCTGAGATGGAATATCCCATCATGAGCATTGTAACAAATATATATAGTAAGTAATGCTGACTACTCGTGATCATGACAAACATCTTTAGATTTCATTTTGCAACAGAAAAAAAAGAAAAGGACCATGGTTGTCAAAATAAGCATACTTTGGCATCCACTTTCCAGAGCTATAGGTCCAGTATTGTCGATTTAAATACTTAAAATGTAATGTTAGAAGTTGAAAAACAGTTGCTTCAAAATTCTAAGCCGGAGCCCGAGCGGGCAGTTTGAATGAACGAAAAATAAAAATAGAATAAAGAATGTAACGCCCTATCAAGAATATGTAAACAAAATTATGCTGATGATTGTCTTTTAAACATTTTGTGTTTTTTATGTCTTTTACATCAAACTTTTCGTTCTCGCAAACTCCCCGGCCGGGCCCCGGCCGAAATGTGTCCCCAGCATTACCTGGTGTCACAGACGATGGCGATGGCGGTACTCTGTTGTTTGTCCACGTCACACTCCACGGAATGGGTCCCGTCCTTGTTGATGAGGAAAACCTTGTTTCCAGCGTACTGGTCGGGAAAACCTGTCCGTATATCAAGATTCAAGCAAGTTCTATCAGCAGGACTGACAAGAAATCATCAAGTAAACGGACGCATACGGTTCAGTCAATCATATCTCAATTGTTTCTTTCTCATTCACGATGTTGTATTTCATTTACATTTTCTCGCAATCGGAAAGCTTGTCCGATTTCCTTTTAATTGGTACCCTATTTGGAATCATCATATATTTGCGTGTCAAGCTCCAGGGATGGTTCAACTTTATGACGCTACAAAGATGACTCACAAGTAAGAACTTTTCTAAACTTCCCGACGACCGTTGAAAACAGGTTGTCCTTAGTGCGTTTTAGTGAAAACAGTGTGTTTTGTTGATTCAAAAGTGCATTGAAAGTATACTTTACAATGTCGTAAGTTACTGTTTTAGTATTTCTTGGATAATGTAATGTCTATACACAGCTTACAAATATTTGTTGATCTCCTCCAGCTATACATGATGCAGGATGTGAGAGTGTGTTTTAGTAAAGGCAGGAAAAGCCTGTATTTCTTACCGCTGCCACTGATGGTTATCCGGGTTTTCCCCTCCAGGCTTCCCGCACGAGGGGAGATTTTCTTCACCGATCCGCCTGCATTGTGGCAAAGAAAATAGTTGAAATGTATCAGATACCTCCTTTGTAATTATATATATATAAAATGACGGGAAAATATTTCACTATATCATTAAACGCATAACATTCTCCATTCTTCTGTACGCAGGTTTGGCAAATATAATCTTTTTCTTTTGCTTCTTTATTTTCGTTCTTTCTCCGATCCCCCTTCTTTTCTTCTTTCTATTTTTAATGCGAAGTGATGTAGCTTAGACATCTTAATTAAGCTATTGTATACCTCTGCATACAGATATGTGTTCGCTAGAGTTTGTTTTGGCAGGTATTGTGTTTCATTTTTTATATAGGTTGCACTCTTCGTATCTCTACCCTGTACCTAAAAAGTGAACTACATTGTATTAGCAAAAGTGACCAAAATTATTCACTTTCTTTCACATCTTCAGAAAAATACACACCCGTTTCACTAATGGTAGCATTTATACCACAATTAAATCTGAACAAAAGAAGACAAGACGCATAATGGATCATTATATGCTTTGTTTACGCCTGAGGATGTTTACTCCCATTTGGTATTTTTAACGAATAACCCCGAAGGCAAGGCACCGCTCTGTGTAATAGCCTCTACCAGGCTTCGGGAGGCGACTGGAAAGAGTAGAAATCGGCCAAATAGAGAGATAACATGCCAGGCGAGTTTTGCTGCTCCGCTTCGGCAAACTGTTCTCTCCAGCAAAAAAACTCCCCTGGCATGCTATCTCTTTATTTGGCCGATTTCTACTCTTTCCAGCCGCCTCCCGAAGCCTGGTAGAGGCTAATGTGTAAGTAAAAGGCACTTCATTGTCTCTAATGTGTGCTTTCAGTATGACTGACGTCACAGAATCGGCAAATGACTGACTCCTTTAATAACACGTTTGTACTGGTACCAATCTGTAGGTAGACACAGTCTATTACAGGGCCAGGTGGGTTAGAATAAAGGGGCTACGTCCCCTCAAAAAAGCATCTGTAAAATGTGTGTGACCTGTTTAATAGTGTGGAATCTTATTATTAAAACATATGACCTTTCAATGTAGCATTAGAAAACTGATAGTATCTTTGGAAGGGTGTTTGAGTTAAGCTTTGCCGCAAGCCAATAGTGCATTAAGTCCGTAGACGTCTTCATCTTAGAATTTGGCATCTTAAATAATGAAATGGATTAATGTTCTTGAGCAAAAGATCTTATAAGCACATTGTACTATCTATTAGATGCTCACAAATCCATGTGAATGAAATAAAGAAAAATAAATGGTTAATGTGGCTGTAAGAGGGGTAAAGCAAAATAAAAATGAAGCTTTAAGTTACATGAAAAGTATACATAGAGAGGGGGAAACGGGACGCTTAACAGAAAATACTCGTACAACCAAAAATGTCAATAAGACAATTTCAAACTCATGGGATACAAACCCAAACCTAAGGCAAAAATTTCGTATTAAATTTGTAAGTCTGCACGTGACTTAAACTGACTGTATACGCCGTAACGGGTCTAACTTGACGTGCTCTGACATGTGTAGTGTTGTTATAATTTATTAATACATGATAATATTTTGCACATGCCAACAAAATTCAGTTAGATCCTGAAAACTTTGACCTTGAATATCATGACATCAAATGTATATAGAAAATTAATAGGAAAGGAAACGGAATCTTTGTAACAACGTATTCTTCTTAATCAATAGATAGACCTTGCAATTTTGTCCTTTTCTGCATTGATACAAAAACACAGTTTGCTATGTCCAATAGGCCTTTCTACATGTGATGTCGATACGTATTTTGTTTCAATGAATAAAAATTAAATCCCAAGGGACAAGTCCCTATGTGACTTGAAATAAATTATTAAAACTGCATCATTCATCTATTAGAAATATAATTTTTTCCTTTCTTTGTGTCCCAAGTCCCTGAATACCTATGCATTCAGGCATGTATACCCACCACTATACCCTGCATTAGCGTACATGTATGTGGCTATTGATTGAAATGCTTGCGTGAGGAGACTATATTGTAAGGTCTAGCTTTTTGTTGTAAGGATCAGAGCGGACTATACAAATAGAATAAGACGCCGTCTACAACAGATTACCATGGACTTACATAACGAACAACAGCCTGTGTGAGTCGTGAAAGTAGTGGAGCATGTACGAATTTGCGGGGACTGGACAAAGTACAGCTTTTCATTGTAGAAAAAAGTCTTTGCCTCAGGCCTTGTTCTCTGACGTCTAAAGAAGTCCAGAAACCCTTTGTCATCGCCTAATGATGTCTTCTTTACGCGCGTTTTGTCAATTTTGTTGTTGCATAATTTGGAACACAATCACCATGGTGATGATGTATTGTCTGAGAGCCTTTTAAAGTTTGTTTTTGGTAAACTTTGCTAGTCAGGTTGTTTTGGATTACCCTATTTTGTTTGATTTTTGGACTTCGTCTTCTTTCTTTTGCATGGGTAACGTTACAAAGACTTTTTTTTCTTCAAAGCAAAATATACGTTCACTTACAAATACCACCCTTAATTGTGAACTTACCCTTTTGAGAATTTTACATAATCTTGTAAAGTAAGATTACAAAATGGGACAGTAGATACTGATGAGTGTATTCTACTTTAAAGAGTATCATTCAACTATAATTACAAACGTTAGGACTGGTTTGAGGTACGAGTTTGCTCCCCGCATGTCCATTTTCCTCAACAAAAATAAACAATAACATTCAACATACAACAACCCTCAAGACTATACAAACAAACCCATGTACAGACCAGAACACGCAGTATTGTGTCCAACTGCTTATTTCTTCACAGCGGGTGATGTGGTATGTTTGTTTGATCTTACGCTCTATAAGGCTTCAGTAGCTGGAATTTACTGGGCTTAGTATAATTACGTCTTGCTTCCTGACCTAAAGGAAGAAGAGACCTTGACTAAATCCCTTATTCACCTTTATAGCGAACAGTAACAGCACAGGGGATCTAGACGGAATAGCGTTACCAAGGGGACCGATGTAAACAATGTTTTACCTGTCGGGTGCGGTTTTACCAATTGGCGACACCGATTCAGACAGGTCGACTATGGCGCGGTACTCGATCGTATATATAAGCATTCGTTTTGGTCGTTTTCGAGACATAATCCTTACTGTACTAATGTCAAAGAGTGTAATGACTTTTGGCGACGCCTCAGGTGCATTGCCGATTCGTATATCATTTCATTGGGCCCCTGTTGAGGGTGACAGTTCTTTGAAAGGCGGGGCGGTTAGAGAGCATGAAACGATTTTCAATCACAATACCTGCTTGAATCTAAATCCCTCGCCTAAATCCTTCTCTATCCTGTGTGTCTTGAATGGTATATATATATAGCATTTGAGGATCTATGATAACGTGGCAAAACTGAGTGTAAAATAGATGAAAACAAAATGAAACTTGTCACTATCAATGAAAGTTGTTTCAGCTCAGACACCCCAATTCCTCAATTGTTGAATAACTCTTTTCAGCATCAAATTTTCTTTCAACAGATTTTATTACCTTTATATCATAAAACTAGGTCAGTTACGTAAGAATGGAGCACATTAAAGTGCAACAATAACGTGGATAACATAATCGGATTACGTATAACAGCCAATGAAAAGCAGGGTGCTAGATTGTCTTCTTTTCCGAGGATATTTTAGGACCGTGCTTTCATCACGTTTGTACAGAATTGGGGCATGTTTTGTGAAATTTCCTTCCTCATCACTTCACAAACTGAAAGTGATATTGTCCAGTTTGGGAACTGCCTTTTTATGAAATAGATAAGGACAGATCTGAGGTTAATGAAATGTCCCGGGAAAATATCCTGTTTTGTAAAGTTTTACAGACGATTTCTTCATCTTTACGTCACAAACAGAAAACGTTATTGTTGGGTACGTGAAATGGCCTTTTAAAGAAAAAAAAAGGCAAATCTTCTCACAGAGATGCCCTGTCTTGTAGCTGCACGTGTACAGAACATGCTTTGAGCAATTGTCTTCTTCTTCACTTCACATATCGAAAATGGTATTGTGACCATTGTCTAATACGCGATGTGCCTTTTTCATGAAGAAACAGGGACAATTCTACAATACATGAGGCATTCCAAAAGTCATGCTTTGTAAGGGTGTACAAACATGTAGGACTAGAAATTAGAGCGCAACAATGGGTGATATAAAAATACAACACAATGTATATTTTGTGACAATGGTATATGTGTTTCGTAACTTCTTCGACACAAAGTCCACAACCAAACAAGATGTAGCCACTCGATGTTGTTTGAAGTCACGGAGTGCGTTTTTTTTATCTCAGCGGCAAGGAATCCTTGCGAAGGTACATTTAATACGGCAATAAAACAGACACCACAAGCTCGTAAAGATCGTAGACAGATAAACTTTCCCCAGCAGGTAGCGGTCACATATCTCATATATTATGTATCGTAAAGCATATATCACCGACATTGTCATCGGCGCCAGTTTTTCTAAGGGCAAGGTCATATACGTCATATATACGATCGTCAAACTGCATTGTTGAGATAGTAGTGCTTGTGTCCTGTTTTGTTACGGAAAAAGTTGGCTTAGATCCTTGTCGACGATTGTTTCTGTCATAGCCTACTACAAAATCCTACCGCATCAAACTACATGTACGACGAATATTAAAAAAGTGATGACCGCTTCCCAAAGAACGTCATACGACAGTTCAATGTTTTCATGTATGTTTTCATCTACTAGTATTCATCTTTTTATGAATATTTACCACATCTGTGAAAAGACTGAAATTGCAGAAGACCAGGCTGTACGCTTTGAATCACTAACACTGCAAAAGGGCCTGCTCTTGTCCATAACTGTGACTCTCTCCAAACATTGGACCTCCCTCCTTCATCGGACTCATTTGAGGAACTTCTGTGTTAAATAGAATTTAAAACCAAAACCTCAAGATTCTGGGATTATAACCTAAACCACACGTACAATACTAGTACCATGCCACGAATCACCAAATCACTTTGGTTCCGAATCGTTGTGGGCTGAATCAGGAGCTACGTACGTCACAACTGGTTGATTAACGATATGAAACCCCGAGAGGTGCTAAAGATTGATTAGCAAGAAGCCACCAGAAGGACACAAGAGACATTGACACCATGTCAACGCCCTCATTCTATCATATTTGATTAATACAAACATTACTAATATGAACTAAACAAAAGACATGCTGTAAAAGGTGTTGTAAATTTTATCACTAATGCATCAGATGACAACTCTTGTTATGAAAAATGCATCAAGAAGACATAGCTCCGTAAACATGGTGATTTTGCTTTGAAAGTAAACATTGTATATTCTTGACAAAGTTTTCCTATTGTATGATAAAGTTATGACTGACAAAATGTCCAACACACTACATGAATATATTTCTGGGGAAAATCCGGATATATGCCTGAGCTTCTGTGATAAAATCCTGAGCAAGATGCAAGATATTTCAACTACGAATTATTTTTTATACCCACTAAGAAGCGAATTAAGACTTCCGATACTTTAGTACGGAGAACATTACACGGGAATGAAGGCGTTTTTACGCCGTTGCGGTGCTCTGTTGTCTTCTGCCGTGCAGCCTGTTTTTGCCTCTTGCTCTAAAACTAATTTTGTTCAGAAGTCTTTCCCGCTTCTTTCCCTTTTTCCCTCACAATGATCACAAACAGAAATCTAAAATTTTTTATTCATTGAAATTTGCCACATTTGTGGAAGGATGTCAACTTGGAGACCAGATCGGCTGAAAAGTTTGAACCACTCACACCGGGATATCCCCGTACGTTTTCGACAAGAGTGGCGCTCAAACATGGGACCTCCAATCCAGTTTTACGCTCTATTCGAAAGGATATCCCTAACCGAAGTTAGGTACTCATTTCTACCTGAGACAAGAGAGGAAATAGGTTCCTTTCCAACCAGCAAAACATTGGATCATGTCGAACTCAGACCCTTCAAATTCTAACCCTAATCACAAGTCCACCTTGCAAAACGCGCCAAATCTAGACTGGAAGCTGATGCATAAAACCACCTGCCACCCGTCCTCTTGCGCAACATGCTCTGATGAAGAAATTTCATTTGAAATTAAAACGTTTTCAAGTTCTGTGTGCAAAACACAAAAGCACCCTCGCCATTTGCACCCTAGTTCTTACAAACACGAAATCGTAAGATGACTGTTTACGGTTGGTTCTATAGCTACGGCACCATTAGCAATATGAATGTCAAAGTTACTAGCCTCTAGAAACGTAGGTAGAGACGCCTACAGGCGCACAATGTCGCGACCAAGCAAGACACGATTTAGACCAACAAACGCTGGATACATTTGCATCAGAAAACACCGTCTCAAACACAGTTCTAGTCTAAACCACGTTATCACTACGCCTCGGATCACCATCTTATGAAGTATTTTTTTCTACCCAACATGAAAATTGCAAACATCTATGCGGTTTTTTTTCTAATATCAACCGTATTGAATCCGTGGCCTAAAGATGAACCTGTTACTAGCCGTAAAAAGGTACCGCAAGATCGTAAATATCATAGTACAGACATATCATAACTTTCACGAGCAGCTGGCGGTCATATATATCATATATTATGCATCGTAAAAAAATACCTCACCGGCAGTGCCCTCATCCGCGACAATCTCCACAACAAACGCCGTAAAACAGATCAAAATGGCCGCAAGATGAAGCGCTTTCATTTTAGCCATCCTTGAAATGCTCGTACTTTGCTTCCGATGTCTGGGTCTACTGAGGGTGCTCCATGCCGAAGCACCGTCGGCTCAAGCGGTCTTGAAAATGTACCAAGAACACGACTAGAGCCCGCTTTGTTCACCGGTATTAATGATGACAACGGCAGTGCACATCAGTTGTTAACCTTGCGTGATCGTGCTATTGTTCATCTTCAACTTACACGCCCTGGCCCTGCTATGTAATGGAACAGTCCAGGTGCGTATGGTGTTTCCTTAATCCCCGTTTGATTTCGGAATGGTTCACGTGATGAATAGGGGGTAATGCGTGCATGCTTATTTCAGCTGAGAAAACGTGGAACAACCCACAAGGACACGTGGGCAAGGCAACGTTTTAGATGGAAGGCATGAAGGGCACCATGGGGGGTTGCAAGACATCCCTTTGTGAATTTAAAGATGTTTAAAATCATTTTTCTACAGTGTATACCTTGGATTTCTTGTAAAACTGCAGCATTGAAGTAAATACGTCATGCACAATGCTATCAAACCATATATGCATAATTTAAAAAAATTAGTCGAAAACAAGGAGTTAAGGAAACCCCCTACGAAACCCTCAAAAGGTCTAACATCAAAGAAATTGTTGCAAGACACTTAATGCTATTGCTAGGTGATTACTTCTTTTCGGTTGATCGGCTTTCTATGTGCCTTTCTGTCAATTCATTCTTCCACCCTTTCAAGCAAGATCTCTGTGATGGGGTCAACGGCCTTAAGTACGGTTACACTGATCATCACCTGTCATGAGTTGGTAAACGTACCCTAAACCAGCCTAAATAGGTCTACAATATTGTTATCAAAGCATGAAAACGCTGTTGTAACGCTCGATCAACGACGTCAGTTAAAAGATATCGTTAACTAGTCACCAAACGTACGATATTGTTAACTAACTATAGTCACGAAACGTACGATATCGATAACTAGTCACCAAACGTACGATATCGTTAACTAGTCACCAAACGTACCATATCGTTAACTAGTCACCAAACGTACGATATCGTTAACTAGTCACCAAACGTACCAATAATCGTTAACTAGTCACCAAAACCTATCGAGGAGCAGATGCTTTAGAAAATGTAGATGGAAGGAAAACATTCATACAAGCGTTACAAACAATTCGGTCACTAGTTGTTACATATTCAAACCTTACCACAGTACGGTACGTCACACAGCTCCCATCTGGTCTCGGGATCCGTGGTGTAGCACCACACTCCGGGTTCGCCATCCGGATTCCGGCAGTAGTTGTCCTCCAGTCCGGATGACGGATATCTATCAGGCTTCTTGTTGTGTGAGTGCGGTGACTGACTGTCCCAGCGCTGGCACGTCTTCCCCGTGTTGGTGACAGAGACTGTGGTCCCTCGGTAGGCCTGCCCTTTCCCTACCTGGCAGGATTCTAGTAGATGGGGAAAATATCACGAATGAAGTTCACGAACATGAAACATATCATAACTTTAGAAGAAAAAAAAACTGACCAAAGCATATCCAGAACACAAGATACAAAACTGGAAGTTCTACCAGTGAAAGCAACCAGGGGGGCCAAAATCTAATCATTTCATCACTTAATCTAGGGGATCCATAATTATCTAGATCGCCAGATATTTTGATTGTTTTTTTTTTAAGTTCATTTTTTTTATTCATTTCATTAGAAAAACAAAATCATGGCATAAGAAAATAAATGACGTACACGTATGACCACAAAACTGATACATAAAACCGGCAGACAGTAGAAATAATGAGAGATTAATGAGACCCCCCCCCCAGGAGAATAAATGATATTTTGATTGTTTGTCATTGGCAAAAAGACAATACCTTCCTAACATTGACTTCAAGTTGTGCATTGCCTGGTCCATAATTATATAGACAACAGTGATTCTAGGATTTAGGGACGATCCTTGTCCTACTGCATTCGCCAGCGTTTTTGTTGTTGATTTTAGCTTTAAAATCTATGCGATGACAAGGATGTTCATAATTTATCAACAACATCATTATGATGTTTTTGTGGGTATTTTCACTTGCCATGTAAGAATACTGAGGATAAGAACAAGGAACACAACTCTGATCCAGATCAGTCAAGGTCTTAATTTCTGAAAGGTGTTTCAAAACCCCAGCGGCGGTTTGGAAGGTCGCCTGGGAAACTACCGGTCGCGCTTTATTCTTCTGTAAGAACTCTATCTATCGGAAGTTTAAGGAGAACCCTGTAGATTAGGAAGGATTTTAGGTCCTATACACGTGGACTTAAGATCGGTGTGTACGTGTGTGGTGTCTTGTCGTTAGGATTATATTTCAAGCAACCCTTAAGAATATGCCACATTCAATAACTGACCACAATATCATCAATCGTAGCATCTTAACGAAAAACAACTCTAAAACGAATTTTTTTTATAAATTTACCACGCTTATGGCCTACTGTACGCATCCTGATTTCGCATACCGCAATTTCAATGACATTAGTGGTTCAGGTTTGTTGTTCATTTTGTACTGAAAAGTGAATGAAATATGAAAATTAAGAAAACTAAACGGAAAACACAATAGATCACATTCGAAAGGAATCAACAAATGATGATACACAAAAAAGATATGCCTCTACCAAATGGCAACAAAATGGCGACAGGAACAAAGAAGAGAAGACAAAGATTGTTTCTGTCATTCGTCTCTTCATCCTTCATCCCTCTAGTACCATGGATGAGTGTCCGTACGTCAATGACCTCACCAAGGCGATCGATGATGTAACAACTTAGCGTGAGTCGACGTCAGCGGAACAGAACAATTCACCTGTCATCCCTGCTACGTGACAACACGCACGCGCGCTTTTGTTCCCGCGTGTTGGAGATGATCACGACATAACCAACGTCATTGACCTCCAAATGTCCCGAAAACAACATCAGATCTTCAAGCGTATAAGAAAGGGGCATATTGTAAATGTCCATCTCTTTTTGGTCTTTTCTTCGCCCTGTGCATATCTTCAAAACATCAACCTCTCCCATACACACACATCATTAAGAAAGTTTACTACGTGAAAACATCGTAATGATATTCCCTATTTCCATCCATTTGAACGTTATTGCCCTACAGTAATATTTTCAACTTATAGTATTTACATCTGCAAGGACCGTTGAATCCACATCCAATACTTGTTTTCTGGGTGGTACCCTAAATATCGCTCCAGGTCCTTTCAGTAACTGTCAGAATGGCATTTTGCCCCATGAATGTCGATATACATTGGGACAGTGTTGTTTCAACTGAGTAAGTGACTAAACTTTGAAAAATCTGGTTTCCAAGCCCCAAAAACTGAATTAGATGCCATTAACCGTTACAGAGATTGAAAACTATCAAATCCTTGCATTTCTACGCGGATAAAGTAAGCTTACCGTCAAAACCTCTTTTTGTCCTTTGCTTACTACTCAGAGTCAAAGTTAGAACCGCAGAACACAAGATTGTGCTGTGCGTGGCAACGGGCGCCTTTAATTTGCATAAATGAGATTGACACTCCTTTATAGCTAATCCCTTGTCTAAGGCAAGTTTTGTAAGATCTTACTAAAGTTTGATGTTGCCATGGCAGCTGTTTTGGGTGATATGATGTCACCACAGTAAGACATGAGATATACAAAATATCCTTCAGCGTCTGTTGTAGTACCAAGACAATATAATCCCTCTCTCTCTAGCATGAAATGGAAAGTTTATCTGAGTTGGTAAATTTCTTTTTTGAGTTGGAGAACAGTTTGATTTTCTTCACATAATCCCTTCATTTTAAGTTGGAATATGTTCTTTATGTACTAGCTTATAGGCAGTTTTCGCAATCTGGAAAAACCACAAGCGTTGGCAGGGCGTGTGTGTAGCTAACTCTACATCTATTGGGGCTAATATCAAGCAAGCAACAACCTTAAGTTGATGCACAAAAACATGACTTCAAAGAAAAGTAATAGAGGGTGGCCTTCCTTAGATACGCATGTTGTTTGCGTACGATGATTAAAAATTAATATTCCATTAGGGATGAATGTACTTTTGTCATTTCAAGGTCCTTAAACTAAAAGCGGCATTAGGCCGTACCTTCGACGCTTCTATGCCATTCCATCACGTAGGCATACCTCTGCTAATTCGATGTGAATTGGCCTAAAGAGTCACGCAATACATGCCACATCGAAGCTTCATGATAAAACGTTATCTCCTTTTCAACATGTTCGGTTGAATTACATGGACCTGTTGATGATAGGATAATTTAAACTGTATGATTTCCTGTTATACAAATGTATCAATCAGCTCGTATAAATAACAAACGAAATAGGGAACAAAAAAAGACAATCGTGTAACACAAAACGTCACAAAATTCGCTCTTTTTGTGTGAAAATTCGTTGAGCGATCTGTCCAAGCTTGGGTCTCTCATCGGTTACAGAGCCTCTAGTGCAAAAGGCGGGTGTAATACTTAAGGCCCGTATGAATGGTTTGAAATTTTCCAAGCTATATTCGATATGTGCTTGTTGCAATGCGCCAGAATGGGAGAAATGATCCATCCACATGACAGGCAATGGTCAGCGCAACCGCTAGGACGTTGAACCCATCACAGAGATCTTGCTTGAAAGGGTGGAAGAATGAATTGACAGAAAGGCCCATAGAAAGCCAATCAACCAAAAGAAATATCTATCTAGGGTTCGAGTTGCAATTTGAGGGTCTTGAAACAATTTTCTTCAATGTTAGACCTTTCGCAAGTTTAGTAGGGTGTTTTTTCATTGGGGCTTGATAGAATATTGTTGAGTGATCTGTCAAAATTATGGTCGCAGCCTTTAGTGGAAAAGTGGGGTGCACGTGTACATGTCATGCACTTCGTGTCCTTGTTACCAATGAAATTCAACATGTCAACGACCCAAATTGGCGTAATGAAGGTGAAATAAAAATAAAGCAATGAATAAATCATTGTCAGTAACGTCTTTGATCTAAAGATTCACCCAAGTGTTATCCTCACGCTTAATTGAGTTACGTCAGTATCTTTAGAATTTCAAATTGTGACACAGAACAGATGCGAACATCCTTTTATTGCAAGGTTGAAAATGAGAATGCATTTTTCTTCTCCGTTGTACACATGTGCAATTTATGTTCACTGAGGTAGAAGAAGAACTAGCTGGCGGTAACGTCTGCAATTTCTCATGTTCTTGCTGTTTCTTTTCGGCAAAGTATGTCGTAGGTTTGAGAAGAAACAGCAATCGTTTAATTCAGCCGTCGTTTCTTCCCAAATATAAATCTACGACCTATGGCACAATAGCCACGAAATATGTTGTATGAGGCTTAAAATGGACAAATTTGAGCCCAGGTGAATATTCTTCCACCCTCTCTCAAGATTTCTGTGATGGGTTCAACGTCCGAAAGGTTACATCAAACATCACCTGTCACATCGAAAGTCCTTGTGAAAAGGGTGTTGTTGAAGAGACAATAATGTCTTTGGGCTGTTAACTGATTACTTCTTTCATTCACTATATAATCCACGGACCTTGGGACTCCTGTTTGGTAAAACATATCCATGGTAACGAAATTCCTTAAGGCTAGCTATTTTCATCTTTTCATTAGTCGACACAATGCTCGCAGAAATTGGTATTCGAAAAACAGGATAGAAGCATAAAGAATCAAACAGAGGAGCAAATAGAGAATATTAGAATTCCATAGCGTGTTGAAATTGCGGTTTAAATGGTCTATTCTACCACCTATTTAATCTGGAATCCTTGAGACTCGTGGACTGTTGTTGCGCTACCATGGTAACTAAATTCCTCGGGCTATTTCTGCCCTTTCCATCAGCGCGCAAGACGTCCGGAGACAAAGACATGTGCGTCAGAAATCCCAAATGTCGCTTGTCTAAGATCGAGGCCCGTCTGTGGCTGTAATCCGTATATTACTGCCTTTCGGTCATTTTTTTCGATATATAACGTTGTATTTCATTTATTAGAAACGAAAAAAGTGAGGCAGTGCATTTTACGCACACGTTTTATGGCGCAAACGTCTTTGTTTACTAATGCAGTCTCCCTGATATTTTAAAAAACATCACTTAAAAATGTGTGTCGAGCTTCAAGAGATGCGAATAGAGAAGGATATTTGGGGAAAGGAAGTATGTTCTTTCTGGCTATAGATGTGATGTTGTGGCGGGAAAATTTATGAAAATTTTCATAATTTGCATTGTTGTTTTTTGAACCGTGGTATTGGGTGCTTTTCGGTGGAAAACATCAGCTTAGGTTATTCTTCAGCTAACTGAAACATTTGAATTTTTGAAAGACCTGCCATGCTCTAGTATTCAAAATATGTTCATCATCACCGCCATTTTACCGTTATCAGCTGCACAGGCGCACCACGGGATTAAGAATGGAGACGTTTTGCCTCCAGTTCTAAATTCTTTAGCTTTAATTACAATAATGA